CTTCATCTGGTCAAGATACTTGTCACGGTATGAGGTGTAAATCTTATTATTAAAGGCATTTCTACGCCTTGTAAGCCTCCTAAACACTTATCAAGCACAGCAGATTATAGTGTTTCCTCTTTGAATTCTTGACTATCCTAATGAGGAACAACACAAAAACGCATTTCTAAAAAAGAAAAACAAAAATGCAAATATGCCAGAAATACAATTTCACTTGTTATTATGAAACACCAAATACAGACTTGTCCCTTGGAATCCTGGTCAAGTAATGACCACTGGGTAGAGAAATCAAAATATGTGAAGTAGAAAGGTGTGAAGAAGGTTCATATAACCATGGCTGATCAAGATCAGATACAAGGAGGTGGAAGAGCTAACAGAAGAGCAAAAAAAGTCACCGTCTTCAGGAAACATCAATCTTGCTGCTTCTGCTAAAAGGGTGCAACTAAAGTATGTCTAAGACAGTTAAGAGGGATGGGATGAGGCCTGTTACAGTTCTTGAAGAAAATGTAGCATGTTAAATAAACTAAACAAAACCTTGAGTCTGGATAAAGTGGAAAAATCATGCAAAACCGAAAGTAAAACCAGTACATGTACTGCCAGCAGCTATAAAACATGTACAGTGCAGTGCAGCAGAGATGGCTCCTTCCCTCAAGAGCACCTCCCAAGGAGCCAGCCTGAGTGTGACATTAATTCTGAGCAATGGCAAAAACATTTTTGTGCAAACAACTGACATGCCTTTGCATTAATCCAAACTTGTTTGAATTGCAGTGGCATTAGGATTCTGCTGACAGGCTGAGTCAAAGGAAACAAGCATAAAAAAAATAAAGGGATTCCACTGAATAGCAAATATCACCAGCATTGTCTGTGCACGGTACCAAAAGGGCTAAAGACCAGCAAACATCAGTGGAAAGGATTCAGCAGTAATGCTGAAAGACCTCTGCCTCATGTACTTGGATTCCTAAATAATCTTGTACACAGTGAATGCAACCAGTGATGCAAGCAAGCAGACAAGCAACTCTTTTTCACAGACTTGGGAATTTTAAACTATCCTCTTATTGGTATCACGCAGTGCCACATTTCATGCTTTTTAGAAATGAACAGATTACTATGAAGTCAAACACAACCTGTATGCGTTTCATATTTATAACTTTCTTTGCTTCAGTCTTGCTCCAGGTAAGCTTGCAGGTAGATGGGGAGGACCTTGACAAAAGTCTAGAGACTACAATTACAATTCTAGGGGCACCTTAGGGAAGTAGAATTTAAGTGAGCTTTAAATGCAATTTTAATTCCATACAATAAGAAAACCAAAAAACCTTGACAACCTGCTCCCATGCCACCAAAACAGGAATGACACTGAAGTATAGTAACAACCAAGAATCAGAGTATGACCATGATGTTTGTACACGACTCAGACTGGTATTAGGCAAAATCAAAAGGAAGGTTGCAAATTCTATGTATGATTTCACTAGCAGAGGTTCTTAACCCAGTACAGAAATGTTTATGTGTGGCTTTATAAGATGATGTAGCAACTCATATTAAAAGCAAAATATCATGTCTTACTAGACTCTCTGTCCTTTCCATTTCCCAAACTAAGCAATTTTTTTTAAATCTGGGTTCCCCAGTCACATCAGAGATTACATTGTGAAGAAACTAATGACTGGGAAAACCCAAGTTCCATTCACTGTTATAAAATGTTCCAAATGGTAGGTGCTACTCCACTGGCATGACGAAAAATCTCCCTCCTCCTATCAAGAATTTATCATGAAAATCATCCACTTATTTTCTATTATGTTCCTAGCTCAGAAGACCCTTATTTTATAATTGCAAACCAAAGAAACATAAAACCCATTATGAAGGAAACATTTACATTGTGACTATCTCTCTGTAAAAAAGATATCATCAGATCTCCTTTCAGAGAATTGGTAAGGGAGAATAATCTGTTTTCCTTAAAGTTTTCTTAAAATTCAGTGACAGAAGGGTTAAACAAAAGACTTATCTGAAGGTAAACATAAAAAAGCATGTAAAAACTTTGAAATAAAACATCATCCTTCATGAACAAATCTATAATACTCAGCAGTTCACATGGGCAGGATGTTGGTAGAGAAAACTTGTAAATCCTCTGCATCTGACCATGGGCTGGCCTGAAAATCAAGAACTCAGGTCGGTGGTACATCAGTGTCACAGAAGACCACTTAACTGAATCACTCAAAATAAATTTCTTAGCTTCCAAGCAGCACGTAGAATATGAAGTTTCCAAAGATTACATGTACCTGAAAAGTAAGTTTTTAGAGAATGCGACAGTGATAACGTAAAATAGCGAAGAACACAAGAGCACTGCTCGGATTGGGTTTTATGTATGCAACATGCACACACACATGTACAGTTTCTTAAAGAGAAAAATTTAATTATTCAGCAGCTGTTTAAGGGGGTACGAAGGCTTGTTGTTTTATGGATATCAGAGAAGGTTTTTGGTATGCAGCAAAAAACACTGGATTGCTGCAGTGCTGCAAGGTAAACAGAAGAAACATGATGTATGCTTGCTTCCTCACGAGCATTCTGGCTAGTAACTTAATGAGTTCATAGCCTTCAAAAGATTCAGCTTTCTCCCAGGTATTCAAGGCAAAATTTTTATTTCCTATTATTTCACTTTTCTGTGAGCTACAATAAAAATCTGGGGGTCTCTTTTCCATGTACCCATCGATCCTCCTATATTACCTGGACCCCACTGTACAGCGAGAATAAAGTCTCAAATATTCATTTTGTTTAATATAAAACAAAATCAGCTTTAATGTACCAATGTCCCAGGATTCCAAAACATAACTAATTGGTAGTCTTAAAGGAAATAAATCTCTAGAAACATGCATCCAGCAAGCAGGGTATTGCTAGATTTCTTCCTCTGAGAAGTACTGAACTTTGAGCACTAGAGGATCATGTGACCCTGGGGAATAAGACCATAGCATCTACATTAGTACATTTCTGAATTGATAACAGTAATGCTGTAATTTTGTATAATTTCATGATCATTTTCTCAAAGATGGTGACCTAACAATTCATTAGGTACTTAGAATATGTAAGGAGGCATGTGTACCTTGCCAATGTTTTGTCAGATACAGTCTGCTGAGGAATTGCCACATTATATAGGTACAGCTTCCACAACATCAGGGTTTTCAGTTCTCTTATTCCCACATCTGTTTTGCCTTTGGGCTCATCTTAGATATTCTATTATTTCTCTTCTTTCATTGTATTTTTAACTGAGTTACCTAACTATAGGAAAACTTTACTGTCAATTTATTTATGAATACTATTTCTGAATCACGCTTTAAGAAATGAGCTAGAAATTATGGGCTCTGAAGCTGTAAATAAACAGCTTAAAAAAGAAAACATTTTCAAAGGCTATAAATGTATACCAATTAGCTAATGTAGTATTTGTGGAGAAACAATTAAACTAGTTTGTTTTTTTTAAAAAAAAAAAGCATTGACCTAATTGCTGTGGAAGAAATATTCATGGATTTCTATTTTTTTCAAGTTGAAAAGGAAAGTAGCAGTAGCTTTATATGGACAACTCAAAATAAAGTAAAAAAAATAAATTATTTAGCCTACACTTGTACCTCTGAAATATAGTATTTGCCTGAATTAGTGGAAAATTTACCAGTATCACTTAGACAGGAAACTTACATAAAGCTGCTTCCTTAGCAGCTCCAAAACACAGAAACATCAGTTGACTCTAGGCATCTTTTGTCGCAAAAATTCATCTTTAGTACTTCCTGGCTGCTCTTACTAACTTTCCATTATTTTCAATCAGTCTTTATATCTCATTTGGTACCTAAGGCCATTTTCATTGATACGTCTATTTAACACTATGGTAAATGTCTATTTTTTCCCCCAGAGATTTTCATCTTTGATTTTGTTGCTCTTTTTCAAGATGCAAAGTAATTTTTCCGCTGAGGGACATATTACTGAAGGGGATCTACAGGATCAGTCCTGAAAGTAGTGTCAGAAAGTACTACTTTGTAATTCCTTCACATACCAATCCAGTTCCATCTCAGCACTACTTCAATTGAAAGCCTGCTGCTGAACTGCACATTGCCAGAGATTTCCTTTTAGTTTTCAGCCTAAAATTTATTCATGGTCAAGTGCATCCATTCGCTATGTAAACACTGTCCATGGTCTATTCATAAATATAATTAAGCATATTTTTGCTTTGTTAAGGTCAACTAGCCATGCTGTTTTAACCTTTACTCATGTGGCATTTCCTCAGACTCTGAATAGTAAACACTTTCCGCTCTCCATTAATCCAAATTGGATTGCACTAGAAACTATAAAATGCTATTAAATATTCTTTTTATTTGGAAACAATCTCTTGTCATCTTACATATTATATGTATCTATATATACAACCATCAAATCTATTAATTTATTTGTAAAATTATTTTATAAATTATCTCTCTTCTTAATGAGAGCTGACTGGCAAGAGATTTCAAAATAGTAAGAAGTACTAATAATCTTATGACATGCATAAAAGTTCATCCTTGTATAGTTTCTTGTAACCTACTATTTTTGGGTAAGCTGTTAGATTTTTTTAAAGTACTCCAGACTGACAGGTTCTATAAATGGGATAACCTGAAGTATTTTACTTAAAAGTAATTACAGTCAATGCCAAAATGCTAAGTGGCCATCCATAATACCCTAAATCCTGAATTATTTTTAGAAGAGAAACAGAAAATAAAATAGTGTCAGAGGGTAAATGTAAGCAATTTAGCCACTGAAATAATCCTGCTGTTACTGACTGTCCACAAAGCTGAGCAGCACTGTGCCCTACATGACTGCTGCATTACACATGCCTTTTAAAATTCAATGAAACTCTGGATACCTTTTCCTTCTTTTGTGGATTTTGTGTTGTTGGTTTTTTCAATCAAAGGCAATGTCCAGAAATTACCACTACTAAAGAATCTGTTCATGGCATTGTTTACAAAAGCTCCTAAGAGACAGTGACTACTTGATTGTTGAATGTAACCTTTATTTTATTAATGATGAGAAGTAATCAATGGAATGCTAAAAAAAAACCCCAAACTTGTAAAGAAATCTAGTCTGAAATCTGAATCTGTTCTTTGAAGCAAGTTCAGTGGTCACGGTAACACCAGATGAAAGTGGACTCTTGCCCATTGTGAAACAGGCATGGCTCTTCTAAAAAGGTCACAAACTTTTCAAATATAGGCACCATGTTTCAAATTTTGCACATACAAAATATGTTCATGTCACTCAAATTACACAATGTGGCAGTGTTTTAAGTCTGAACATTATTGTCAATTAATGGCAGAGAAAAGAGCCCAGAGCTCACGTAAGACTAATGACCGGGACAACTCCTGCAAAGAGACAAGAAGTATAAAACAACAGTTTTCCTGTTGTACGTGGGTTTGTGTGTGCATGTGTGAGAGTGCATATAACAAAAATGTTTAAGAGTAAGTTCAGACAATAGCTCATCCACTTGTTCTCAGCTTCTTGTCCAGTTTCATTGCAAAGGCTTTGATTTTAACCGCATGATAAAATGCAAATTCGAATCCCATAGAAACCAATAGTTAGTGTGTTGTTGACTGGTTTGAACCAATCAAAACTGAGTTTTCTTATAATAATTGCTGAATGTCTTCCTTTTAATCTACTTGTCAGCCTCTGGGTATGTAGGATACTTGACTGTCTCAATTTTCTCCTTAACTTTATAGGAAGGGTACAGGCCTGTTCTTCCTAATTTCCTATTGATGCCTTTTGAATAACCATCCCAGTGGTTTCCAGCTACTCCAATTATATCTCCAGGTTCCATAGGAATTTCATCAGCAGTTCGTGGATGATGAGCATAAATAGCAATCTGGTTGTGAGCATTCTGTCCCCCAAAGTAGTAGATATCATCCAAAGAATGGAAATACGCCGAAGCATCTGGATGCAGCGTCTGCATAATTTCATAGGCAACTCGACAAACCTTAGAAATAAAAACAGAAGTCATTAATACTGTGTGTGACTGAAATATACCACAAAAATCAACAACCAATGTATAATAACACTTCTCAAGAATGTCAGGGTCTGGAATGTCTGGGTTAAAAAAAAAAAAAAACTAATCAACTAAACAACAAAAATAGCCCCCAAAAAACTAAGTGAAACCAAACCAAAAATCCCACCAAAAAACCCCACAGAATCCCTGCATATTTGCTACTAAAAAGCATGAAATTTTGCAGAATCTTAAGCAGACCTCTGGTGATCAGATTTGGTAAACAAATAAATAAATAAATAGATAGATAAATAATTAGTACATTCTACTTCAGTATAAAATGAAAACATCTATATGAACACTAGCAACTCTGCTTTTTAAAATTAATGATCTGTAACCAATCAAATGTAAAAGCAAGTAAATTTTCTTTTTCTACTACCACCACAAAAATTGTATTTTACTTCCCTTTGAACCTTTAGAATTTACATTTTCAAATTTATCCTGCAATAATAGGCCTTGCATTAACTTTTCTAAAGGAAGTTCCAATTTTCACAACCAAGGAGTTCCACAAGTCCAAGGCATTAAAATGTTGTTTATATTAGAACAGTGATAGAATTGCTGGCAACTTAGAAGACAAATAAATGAAACCGAATTCCATCAAGACAGTAATTATGTCGGTGAGAATAAAGATGCATTTTTACTTGTCATTGTACCCCATTTTATGAAGGGAATTTTCTTCAGACTGAACACATGTTCCCACATCAGAATTATGTTGCATTTCTCAGAGTTAGCAGAAACACAAGAGCATACTACTATATTAAAAAAAGCTTTTTCAACAATGGCTAGAAGGCTCTTCTCTGTCAGGTGTCTGACTTAGCTGCTGTGGGTTTTCTGATTTCTGACCCCATTATCATATCTTTATCTAATTTCGCGTAAGTTTGATAAAGGCTGATTAACAATATAGCAGATTTCTTCGACAAAAAGAAGCATTTGAGCTTTCTCATAATTTTCAGTCTATGTTAATATAGTAAAGCTTGATTTTACTTTTATTTTCTCCCTTTGAAGATACAGTGAATAGAACTTTGATCAGTCATATGAGACATATTTGTACTTCCTTAACTCCTTTGAGAGAGGCATTTGCTTTAAAAATGTAATAGATTTCCTTTCATCCCTCTGCATCTGAACTTTAAAATAACTTTTAAGAAGTACCTTTCAGAAGATCAGGCTGAAGTTAATTATTTCAAAGTACCTGTTACACATCATAATATAAAAACAAGTTTGATTACCCATATATTTGCAAAAGGCTATTTATTTTATATCCCCTGTGACTGTTTTTGTTTTGTTCTCTGCATGTGTGTGTACCCCAGGAAGTAGAAATACATAACACACAGTATAAAGATTTTACATCTTTTCAGTAGAAATGCTTTAAGCAAGTGTGTCCTGCATATCTGACACAGAACATTCAACACCTTCTCTCAGCAATTGTTTTCTTTGCAGCACCAAACCTGGGTGACTAAACTGTAAACTGTGAGGACAACAGGCAGAACATCCACATGCAGAAACATAGCTGAAGCCAGACTCCCATTTTTTATTCCCAGAGCCCATGTTCTGCAGCCTGTATACTTACCTGTACAATGAAAAATACAAAGACTAATAAATTCTGGAAGGAAATGAAGTTATGTCAGTCAGAGGGAGCTATGACTTCATCTACACGAAGAACAACGAGACAAAAAAAAATTCTTTGTTCTAATGTGTAATCTTAATTTTCCTACTGTGTTATGATTTGTGTAACTCCCATGTGGTTTTCCTATAAAATTAAATTAATCTATTCAATTAATGTGACATTACTGAAATATAGTACCAAGGTAGGTTGTTTCTCTTGACTCTCCATTACATGACAGGACTACCTCCTTAACAACAGAATTTTAAGGAAACACCTATTCTTCAATTTCTACCAATGTTCTTTTAGTTAATTAATTTTAATTCATTAATTCCCAATTAATACAGGGGAATTCTTGATTCTATTCACATATACCAACATTTTTTCTTAATACCTCTGTAATGAAGTTCAGTGTCTTTTTGGAAAAATGGAAAAAATAGTCAGCATGGAATTGATTAATGAGAAAGTCCAAAACCACAATGAAAATAAATAAGAATACATTTTAAACCTTATTTTCTCTTCACACCTATTGGACAAAAGATGGCCATTAACTGCCTTATTTTGCTTACCTTCAATGCCAAAGTACATATCAAATAGTTTATTTTGTTCTCTGCATGTGTGTGTACCCCAGGAAGTAGAAATACATAATACACAGTAGAAATTCATGAAAGGACAAGGATAGCAATTCAAATATTAGAGATAAGAGAATCTAATCTAAAACTCCTTAAAAGGAAACTTTATGAATAGTGGGAAAACTTGTAACATTAGAAAAGCCCAATATATGAAGATTCTGTAGAGATCCACATCGTTACATGCCCAGAAAAACTGGTATTAAACTAATTTTGAGGAGTTTGAATTATTACAGCACAATAAATTGCCTAGAATAAATTAACTACTGGACCAAATTCATAGTCCAGCTATTGACAGTAACACTGTAATAGTGGATCTCCTATACTTTAGTAGAATTTTCTGCAACTCTGGATAACTAAATATGTTATCCAATAAACAAGTCTACTGCCAAATGCATGGTGAAAGAGAATGAGAGTGGAGCTCAAAACACCATGTACCTCAAAGGGGGTTCTGTCAGGTACCCTCCAGAGGTCCTGATCAAGCTGTATCATATCACCTTAACTATGGTGATGTATTTTAAACATCTATTCTTCTTTCAGAATGACTCTAACACTTAAAATTCAATTACAATATATTCTGGCCAAGCCATTTGCAGCTATATTTAAACTATGTTTATACCAGAGTTTTATTTAAAGCAAAAGTTTATCACTTTTAACACAGATATCTGAATATAACAATATCAGAAAATGTCACAGATTTTTCATTAAGTCTTTATCCAAGACTACATAATTCTTCCTTCAGACTATGAACTGTCTCTACACCAATGCATGTGTGGCATTTGAGACATACCGCTGTAGGTTTTGTTTCTTTCTCTGTGATATGAATTCAGTGGGTGTGCTTCAGCTAAATCAAACATTATTATTAAAGTGGATGGCTCCTCACAGCTCTTCTTAGTGAGGATTTTTACTTTGGATTTTACTCAGGTCCTTGGTCTGAAACAGCCTGTATTAATAACCTTCTAAATATGCTATAAAATGTCATCTCTCTCACCATCTCTTACAGGATATGGTGAATGGTAAATAAAGTGTATGCACAAGCATGATTGAGGGATGAGAGGCTTTTCTATACTTTTTGTAGCTTTGCTGTCTTCTTCCTACAGCAATTTTATTAAGAATGGTGCCTGTCAAGGTCAATATATCATTGTATTGACCACCTATTAATATTAATATTGTTCTTGTTCTCTATTTGTCATTACAGTGCAGCAGAAACTTTACATTTGAGGCTGTGGAAAACATTTAGCTTTTAAGTGAATTTTAACTTTTGACTTTAGTATCCACTTCCATGTAACAGTACAATCATGTGTGATTGTGTCACCTAAGAGAATAACGACAACAGCAAGTAAAAAACACTCAATCTGATAGAAATCATATCTTGCCATATGTGAATTAGGTGGATCAGCACATTAGCCACATTAGCTTGGTAACTTTTTGCTGTGCTTTTTATCTTAAAACAAATTTTTATAAAGAGAAGCATGAAGAAAATTAAGATTTAGAACTGGTGCATATAACCAACATTGTCTCTGCATTGCACATTACCTGGGATGAAAATGTACAGACCAGGAAGTCTGCCTGAGACAAGAAGTGAATGTCCAGAATGACACCTCTTAGGGAGTTTTCAGTGTATCGGTTATGGAGTCCTGCTGACCAGGATATGGAGTTATCACTGATAAATTCATAATTTGGATACCTGTGAAAATACAATACACAGTTAATAGCATTTTTCTGTTTATTTTTTTTAAGAAGCATTATCTCTACTGCAAGATAGGGCTATTAATTCATTTTAAGTGAGTCTCTGCTTTACAGGAAATTAATTACAATTTTGCTGAACCCTCTGGAATGTCACCGCTGCCTCCAAGCACGCCCTCTCTTTATCCAGAAAAAATAATTAAATAAAAAGATCCTGTACATCTGTCAGATACATAACAAAGTAGAAGTGAAAGACACATCAGGAAGTATATACCACATTCTGTAAATGATGCTGATTTTAGATTAAATATACTCAGACCACCAAGTCCTCTCTATTGCTAAATAGGATACGGGATTCTGACGTTACTAGGCTGCACTTACTACCATACTATTAGATACTGACTGGGACACTGCAAAAAAAGCCAGTCACCTGTGAAAGGGACATATTAAATAAATACATTTAAACTAATGAAAAGAATTAAAAAGGTCTTTCACAGTTCTTAAGGCTGTAAGGAGAAAAAATTTTGCAATTCACTGGTCAAAAGGAAATAGATTTAAAATTCCATGCCAATACACTTTTCTTGACTTATTACAAAAAAAAATAGTACTACTGTAAGTCAAAAAAAATTTTTTGAAATATGAAACCTTAGTTTATATCATATTAAAATAAATTATTTTCTCACGTAACAATAACGTGAAAATTTTTTAAAATCCTCTTTTTTTTCCACTCTTATGGGAACAGGAAAATGAGAAATCAAAAGAAAGTGGGGAAGAGAGATAGAGAGAGTTAAAAATATTTCCTCCCTGCACCTAACAGCCTCAGAGAAGGGTACAAATCAAGCACAGTTATGGGACTGTTTCAAGTTTCCATTGGTTCCAGAAGCTGATCAACTTGTTGTGTAACTACAGCTTATCACTGCAGGTGCAAATCAAGGTGAATCCCAGGCTCCTGTTCTCAATTGCCAGGCCTGTGGAAGGGTCCACAACAGGCACTGAAAATTTTCTTCCCTCTGAAAGAAGATTGTGAGTGCATGTGTAAACAGATTGAGTAAGAAATAACGTGTTTTCTCAGGTCTTGCTCTAAAAAAAGTTGGAAAATATATGAGCTGTTCATCAGATTCTAGTACTTTGAAGCACTGCTGAATTCTATACATCAAACACACTATGACTTGGGGGGTGGGGAGGGTTAGCCAAACTGCAGATAGTAGAAAGGGAGAAAAGACATTAACCTGCTATTGTGGAAGAAAATAAACAGTAAAAAAAGGAGAAAAAAGAAAATACAGATGACTTTACAGGAAAACATTCTGGAAGGAAGAACGTGATTTGTTGGATTTTTGTGCTCATGTACAAAAAAAGGATACCTAAATAGGTTCATATGCAAATCAGAAATATATTCAATATGGTCTCTTTAAGAATTTATGTATATATCATCTGTATTATTTTGAATACCTTAAAGAGTGAAGATAGACTCTAAGTAGTATTATGGACTAAAAATACATGTACTAGACATTCAAAAATTTGCATGTGAAAATGATTAAATCAGCCAAAGAAAAAGCAATTTACACCATCCCTAACACATCACTTACGCAAGATAAATACCACGACCTCTGCTTACCAGAAGCTGTCAAATGCTTTAATCCCCTGAACATTATAGTTGTTGAACTCTCAACCCTGCTACTCTCTACTAAAATTGTTCTACATGATCCCATCTCTGAAAATATATCACTTCTTTCCTTCTTTCGGAAACAGAACACGAACACTCTACAAACTGACTGCACTATCTTTACTACTGTACTTGCAGTTGGTAGACATCTGACTGCAAGGGAAGTTTCTGAAACTTAAGTCAAAACATTTCTGTTTTTATGACTATGATTAGTTTAAATACTTTTCTTGCTAGAAACAACATGCCTATTCATGTGAATGTTGGCTAAATTTTCTTTACTTAAATGCCAACGCTGTTTGACAGCCAGTCACTCTCTTGTAGAGAGATACAGTACCTAGGACTTACTAATATTATTGCACCAAATAATGAATACAACATAAGCTACTGCAATGTGACAGCTGTTTCTATCAAAGCTTGGTAGCTCAATGTGACTAGAACATTTTTGTCAGCAGCATAAACCAATTTATATTTGATTTCACAAGAAGAGAAAGAAAAGCTTCTTTGCTGCCAAAACATGACCTTAACCTGCCTTCAGATGCTATTAAATGCCCAAACATCAAATTGCATCCTGCCTTCTGTGAAATCACAGGAAGTTTCAAATGCCTTCTACTCAAGGCATCTGAAGCTGCAAGCAACAGTAGGGTGCCAGCAAGGTAGGAAATTATGTTTCAGTGTAAGCTGTGACCTGAAAACCCAGCAGTAACACAAAAAAAATTCTTCAATACTTACAGATTCTATGCCTTTTATGAAGAAAACATGAAATTAATGCTGTATGACTGAGCTGTATCTTACCATATTAAAGTAAAATTGTGATTTGGAATGGACTTGAGCTGTAATTCTTAATAAAACTCGGTATTGTTTTACTGAATAAGTTACAGTTAGTTTTTGTTGCTATTAAAAACTTGAGATGATAGGTTTACACAGGTAGAGCATCCAATTATTATTCACAAAAAATGCTAAGGTTTGAAAGTTAAACAAAAAAAAAAGAAAAATGCATAACTAAGACTGTTACATCAATATTGAATTCTGTTATGTTACAAACAATACTTAGAGTTATTTAGGACAATATAATGAATTAAATATTATAACCTCAACTTTGTATTACCTGTCTTTTCATTGTTTAGATTTGCACTTTGAATGCTATAATTGTTTTTGCTATTGTTCTTGCCTTTACACATACAAAAAAGGATTAGGTTGCCATCACCTGGAGTTGAGTATGTTCATTTAGTTTTCACAAAACACCATAATTCTACACAGCAGCCTTTTATAAATATGAAAGAAAAACAGAAACAGCACAGTTGAAATAGACAGGTTTTCAATGCTGTAGAGAATTATTCTACTACAAAATAACATTTTCTCCTTACCTTGCATATGCCAAAGAAAATCTGTTATGTAGTATGTTATCTTACATATTTTTCCAAGAACGTCACCAACAATAGAACAGTTCAAAATTTTTCCACTACTGAGTTGCTTTTATTTTAGAAAGTATTAATCAGTTAATTAGAAGTATTAATTTACAAGGAAATACAGGCCATCTAGGAGTAAATGAGTGTTTACTGTGTACCCACGTTCAAGAGAGCTAGAAAAGGTTACAAGGTAAAAAAAAGGGATATAGACACTGTAATAAGTTGAGAATCCCTATATTTAATAACAAAATTATTCAACATGTAGGATGAAAGTCTTCTATGTTATTACTATAGAAGTCCTTCTGAAAGAGGGAAGAGCTGCATCATATGCTTTTCAACTCACTTACAAAAATTCCTCTGGCAACTGCTCACATTTTTTGGACGGGTTTTATATACTTCTTCATATATTAACCAGGTTTTACAATATTTCTAAATAGTTTCCTTTTAATATGTATGTTCAATAATAAATGTTGTGTGCTTATTATTTATATTTACATTCTTTATATGTACGTTATTTTTATTTACCTTCCTTCTACAGCATTGATTGGTTTTTACATAGTCATAGGCGTCTTGCTCAACTCTTCTAGATATTTAACATTAAGCTTTGAAAAGCATACTTGGGAGAAAAAAATCCCAAAAAAGCATATCTGAGAGAAAAATCAAAATCACTGGAAAATTAAATGCAGTCTTAACTGAATAAAGGATTAAAAAAATTATACTAGAACTTGTGGTGTACAATAGTTAGAAATTGTAAAGCTAACCGGAAGGAAGGAACTGTAATATAAACATAATTCATCTTACTTGGATTTTGCCTCTTGCAACAAGGAAGGGTCATCTGTAGCCAAATACACTCTTTTTTTATCAACATGCATCCTGCGAGCAAGAAGCTCAAAGCGCTCTTCCACGTGTACCATGTACTCTTCAATGGGGTGAAACGCTGCCTCGGTCCCCACTTTGTCTGTCCTTCGGACATGAACACTGGAAAAAGGGAAAAACTAGGAATTATATTTACAAATACTATACATAACTCCAGCAAATGAGATTTTAGATTGAATAAATACATAAAATAATGAGGGATTAAAACTTATCCATGTCCATCATGACACTGACAATATGAAGTCTGTTCTCAAAAGCAAATATAATAATCTGACAAGGAAGGCAAAGGGTAACTGAAATAAAGGAATGAAAGACATTGAATTATAACATATAAGGTGGCATTCCTTTTGTGCACAAGGTTAAGTTATCTACTGTAGAGAGATAATGATTGATCAATACAGGTCAAAAGGAAAATAGGAATATTTGCATCATATAATGCATAGTTTGGATTAAGGTAGTTACAAATGCATTTTTTGACCTCCTTGAAAGGTAACAAGTCTCCAGACACAGGAGCAGTGAGGTGCCCTACTGGCTCAAGGTCAAAAGCCAACTAACATTTGGACAACCTACTGTGTACTCCTAGAAAAAGAAAGTTTAAGGACTGAAGGAAATTCTGGCAAAGGAAGAAGACTAGCACAGCAGCAGCTACATTTTTCAGACTACATGATGGAAAAACCTTTCTCCCACAAGCTGCTTTTTACTGCTTTTCTTCCCCATATCTCTCCACATCCACGAAGACCTTTCCAATTCATCATTATAGCTGAGAAACAACAACTGCAAAAACACCAGCAGGGAAGGGAAAGGCACACAGCATGTTCACATGTAGCCAGTGATAAAATTAGTTGTGAATTGTGGCACGTAAATTATAGGCTTAGCCTTTTTTCCTCAATGTAAAAGCTACAGGCGTTGGAAAGAAGACACAGACGGTAAAGTGCCTGGAATGTAAGATGTAAAGCAATTACATTAATGAAATTCTGTATTACCAGATGTGGAAGGACATGTTAAAAAACCATCTATTGAGCTGCCTTTTGTATATCTGTCCAACTGCAGGTAGACTAGTGTGCTGAAGAAGTACTTGTAATCAACTTGTATTATGCACAGTTAAAAAATAAGAGCTTCATCTAGAAATCACCCTCTCTCCCCACAAAATACTTAGAGACTCTGATTAGCATCATAAAACAATTTTTCCTGAACAGGAATCACTACATACACATATTAAAGGACAGACAGTTAAAAACAAAACTAAATACCCACCCGATCACTGGATGTTTGAAACCAAGTTTCCTTGTGGCTTCCTCTATTTCTTTTTCTAGCCAAGGCTGCGGACGAATCAAGTATTTCACAAACTGTGAGACCCACCACACTGCAGGATCCCCATGTACACGAATTAGTCTATCAGCCAAGTCTTCAGGGACAGCCAAGGGCAAATAGGGTGGCCGTGGGTGTAAGCTGTCAACAATGGGAAGTTCCACCACCTGAACATCCTTATCATTAGCCTCACCTGTTTTAAAATACATATTAAGATTAGTCAAGTAGTTTACTTTATTAATAAGCTTTACCAATGGCAAATAACATCCCAAACATATCAATTCACCTGTATCTTCAATTTCAAAAGGACGACCTAAACCTTGCTCTACTTTTTCAAAAACAGCATTAAAAAATGTAATAAAAATCATAACTTTAAATTAGATTTATATACAAGCTGTATCTAACAATGACCTCAAGTAGAACAAAATTGAAGGTTCTTGAATTCTTAGCAGCTGGTAATTAATAAAATATAAAATGTGTTCCTGCTTGTATATTGATACCTTCTTATATACAACTATACCATTACTGTGTGCAAAGTCTTATCTGGTTATCTAAAATGTCTAAAATTCAGTTACTTGTTTAAAAATTAAACAAATATTTTTAGGCATAGGAAATCGTTAAAAAAATAACTACAGCTCTGCTGCTATTTTAACCCCCTTTTAGTGCAGTAAATTTCAGACATCATTATAACCACTGAATTAGCTATTCTGTTGTTAGAAGAGGAGAAAGACAATTCCTGTCTTCAAGAACTTAAACTACAAAGTAGTAAATTAAATAACTATAAAGTAGTAAATTAAATAGACCACGGAAAACACAAGCACTGTATAAGCATGTGATGCACAGACAGGTAAGAATTTGTTATGTTTTAAATATTAACTACAGTAGAATATACAGATGGTTTAGATGGGATTTTAATTCAAGGCTAAATAACCACCAAACATATTTTAAGAGTTTTTAAAAATTACACAAACACAACAGTCTCCATAACTGGTAATTCAAAGCTACGTTCATATACTGAAATAAATTATAATACATGACAACATTAAAAAAAGCATTACATTTTTAAAGCATTGAACATTTCAGCTAATATTTCTAGTGCGCCCATTTTCTTCAAAATAATGTTTCCATTGTCTGCAGTATTTACTACCAAAGATGGTTAGTTCTCCCTTTAGTGCTTACCAGCCAGGAAAAAAAAACTGCTTTAAATATAAGCAAATCAAACTCATATAACTTTTGATGACCAAGTAAATCTTAATGCTGATAAAATCAATTCAAGGAAGGAATAATTAAGAGTTTAAGAACAGTTAAAGATCACAAAGGTTAGAACACTTTTGCAAGGCTAGTCAAAATTCTGCAGTAACTCTCTGAGATATGGTTATTTAAATAAGGAATGTTTGTTATGATTCAGGTAGATTTTCAATTCATGTTTACCAGATTTGTAAATCCATCTTCTAAAATGTATCTATATGTCAGTACTTCATCACTGCACTGTATACCATCACTCCAAGGGATTCTTTAGAAGAACTTCCTATACTACAGGTATGGATGATTCTTTTTATTTCAAGAAGGCAGTTCATTTTTTTGCCATCTATTAAATCACACTCACGGAATTTAATAAAAGTTCATAAATTCAGAAAAAATATTGAGCATTTAAATCTTCTTATAATATGATGGATAATACTTTATTAGTATGACTTCAGAAAGCGGCAATAAAGAAAAGCAGCGTGAAGCCAGAGAAGTGCTTAATCTGGTGCAGATGTGAAGTATCAGGCAGAAGTTTAGACAATAAATGTTTAGCTTGGGAATGGTATGAAAGAGTGCTTGAGGTTCCATTACCTTTTTCCCCTCAGCCGAGAATGGGAGAAGAAGCATAGTGGCAAATAAAACAATAGAAGTCTTAGCCAAGGCAAGAAAGAAAATACTTCAATCTTAAGTTAGAGAAGGAAATTTGCTGAAAACCTTTTGAGGGGAAAAAAGCAGGTAATGTGAATTTGCATATAAAAGGTAGATTTTTATTAAGTACAGCATCACTGACAAGCTTTAAAACTTTGTAAACAGTCATTTGTAAAGTCTTGCTATTGATAAAGCTGATCGAGCAATCTGACCTACTATTTGACATACCTACCCTGAAAAGCACTCAATACATTGTTCCGTCCTATTTAAAGGATCAGTGTTCTTAAGGTTTTGAAGAAAATGAGATTGGCCAGAAATAACTCGGAAAACTCTCAGCATATATAGCAAACTATATTAAAGTATACCAAAATCACAGAATATCAAAGAAGATTGTGAAAAAGAATCAGATTTCAGCTTTCAACTCAGTGTGATACGTTCTTTGAATAGTAATGAAGTTGCAAATGTATTCCATTAAGGAAAAACAATTTGATTGTTGAAAACTACTAGGTCAAGTGTTGTCTTTAAAAAGAATTACTAATCAAATCATAAATTTGGTCATGGCTATTTCAATGATGTTGCACCACGTTAATTGCTTACATACAATTATCATCTGCTGATGTATACACGCAGATATGTGTACAATTCCAGAAAACTTTATGGCAACTCTCTAGATTGTATTACCTATATATCTGAATGAAGGAAAAACTCCCTATCAGTCTTCATTCACTTTTAAAAGTATGAGATAGTAGATGCAGCGCAAGGAAAACTTAGAGCAACTGTTTGCTTTTGCACTGGAGAAAACCAGTGTAGAGTAACTCTTTAGTAGCCCTGAAGGAGTAAACAGCCCTGCAACAGCCACACAGGCAAGAGACAGCATTCTTACCTGACTGATCACTTTTTTTTTTTTTCCTGTAATATTTCCTAATAGGCAATGAGCTTGTCCTACTTTCAACAGGCATAGTTTAAAAAACTGTTATTCTTTTTTGGACAGCAGGATATTGTTATATTGTTTTATTTTACTCAGAAACAAGCTGCAATCAAAATCAATTATACAGGAGATAACCAAAACTCAGATCAATAGACAAGCAGATATATTAGAAAACAATAAGTCACATCACTGATTCAAATGAATTTTTCAACTGAAGATAATGAAACCAAGTTAAAAACACAGAATGAATTTTTAATCCAGACTTCAGTTGTTAGCTACATTTTCTCTAATTTGTAAAATGTTTGAGTTTTTTCTACTTCACAGATGCATTTTGTTAAGTAACAGATAAGTGATAAAAGGTAATAATCCATACTAATGTTTACATATTTTTCTCATGTTGGTAGTTTAAATCACAGCATCATCATGTCAATCAGGTCTGATTCCCCACTCACTGGTGGTACAATTTTGATATTTGATACAGAATTGTAGAATTATTTAGGTTGACATGTAAGTTATACATAACTTACATGTCAGTAATACTTCAAGTTTCTTCTTCTGACGTGATTTATTTTACTTTGACAGTTGTCAAAATTTGTCACTATAATTCTATTTACAGCTTAACTTTTATATGACTCCAGGTGCTATTTTTCAGTTTGGAATAAGAAAAAAAAAATTGTCTTCCAGAGTTCTGCAACTTAATCATGATTTGGATTTTACTTCAGTGAGTAACCAAAGATTGAGTGTTTTTGCAATAGTCGTAAAATACTGCAATATTGAAAACACTCGCTCTTAGCATAACAGCATACTCAGGAGGAAGGTCCTGGACAGAAAATTATTTTAATTCAGATGACCTATGCCAATTGTACCATCTAGCCCTTATTTACTACCAGTTTTTGGATATGTTCATCACTAATACATCAATAACACAGTTTCAATTTTCACAACACACAATGAATACTTTTTAAGTATTGAAATGAGCTCTGTGTGTTATAAAAAGCATAACTTCGCTTCACTGCAGTATCCCAATGTGCCTTAATCACTTTACAGCCCTCGGGACTTATATAATTTTTGTGATTTGGCATAACCTTACCGTCTGAATACTTCTCCAACTTACTCTAATTTAAAGCCCTTTTAAAAACTTTTGCTGTTTGTATCTTTCTTATCAACTTCTTTTGGAAGCCTGAAAAATGTTGATTTGACTCAAAAAGACTTTGGAATTTTGTCATTTTAGGTAAGCTTACTTTCTGCCATCTGAACATTGGTTCATACCTGCACTTGGATGGGCATTTTCATTGGGTGTTAATTTCTTACCTGAAAGGAGAATGACATTTTACCACGCAATCACTACTATTAGTTAATGTTACCTGAAAACCTGTTTGATCATTCACTCTCCTGATATTTCAAAATTCATCAGCTAATTTTAATTTTTTCAAGAAGTCCTTAAAAGTATGCCACAGAACACCATGCTAAGGACATTCCGGTCTTGTAACTGAGAATTTCAATTTAATTTCAGTTTGTCTTGCTAGAAACACGACGGAATAAATTGATGTAAAAATGTAATAGCTTCCCTGCTTTTCTGTTTTTACAATATACTTAATTAAGTTGATATCAACTTGCATAGACTTATCACAGACCTACTTAACCAAGCTCTGCAGCACAAAGACTGACTGCCAATTTGGAACCTTACCCAAGTGAAAAACTCTAAATTCAACTCAGCAGGAGATATGTCAGAGTGCTGGGAAAGCTGTTTGACTAGCACAGGGTATGGTGAGAGGATTGTGCTGAACTCTCTCAAGGCTCCTCAATGTCCTGGTGGTTCCTGTTACGTATTGCAAAGGACAGCAGGTTCAGGGCTCATCCATGATACTTCAGTGCTTTTCACACACAGTAAAAAATGAAAACTGCAAAGTTATGTTATGTTATGCTCTTCATGAATATAAAGTACCTCACAAGAGCTTTATGCCATAGCTGAATTATAAAATGGAATTGCCATGAGGTAAAAATCATATTTTTCTTTTAAACTAGTCAATGTAAAAAACAACTCATATGTCTAAATGGTTTCTTTTCTCTAAGCTTTTGCTTTGTACAATTTTAACACAGAATTTTTGAACTTGGTTTCTGAATTATTTCTCACTAGTGTTCCACTTACTAAGTCTGTAATCATCCTTTATGTAATCAAGCCTTTTAAGGCAGACAGGTGTTGAATAAATTTGGTGAAATTCTGATTTAAAGAAACTGAATATAGTCCTTTTTTCCCAGGTTTCACATGCCATATGGATAGTGTTGCCCCATTTGTCATCCTGAATCTTGATACCTTCAGGAGTGAATAAACCAAAATGTTTCCAAACATGCCAACATGCCTTCTATTACTT